TGGATGGATGGATGGATGGATGGATGGATGGATGGATGGATGGATGGCACACCACCCAAGCAAAATGAAGCCGTTTTGACCATTAAATAAACGCATAATAAACTTGATGGGTCAGCGGTGGTGTGCGTGTAAATGCGACATATATGTTTTTTTCCTCTTCATGATGCTTTTTTTGACTGATGTAACTTATACACCAGAAAATACGGGTACTTAAGTATTCCATGAAGCTTCAAATTGAGCTCAGATGCATTGTGTTTCCACTGATCGTCCTTGAGATGTTTCTACAGCTTCAATGGAGTCTACCTGTGGTCAATACAGTTGATTGTACTAGATTTTTTTCAATTATAAAAATGGTGTCTTTGTTTGCAAATTACGTCACCATGGTAACTCAAAACGACATTTGTGGGGGTATACATTGCAGTACAGGCTGCATTAAAGTTTAATGAAGAGCAAGACCCTTTTCAGGTGGGTAATCATAGGTGGCTGCCTTCAGGCAGTCCCCAATGATTTATAAGCACTCACACAATAAGTAATGCTACTGAGATGTGACAAATCTTGCAGAATGGAACCATACTCACAAGATCACCCTGTTTACAGACACGATGAACTCAACCTCTTTGGTCCATGGGTTTGTGAAACTAAACCACTGGCTCTGAAGCGACACGTAGGAGCCATATTTAGTTTTGAACTTGTAGCATTGCGTCTCAACCTTCTCTTTGCTTCGAAGAACTGCACAGAGGTTGTGACACGTGTGTCAGGACACACAAAGTGGACAGAATATTTGAAAGCAAAGGCTACGGGGGTGCCGTTTGTACATTTACACTGTCAAAAATTAACAGCAATTTTTTATTTAATTTAGCCTTTCATAAGAAAAAAATTTAGGGTTTTTTTTTCAGTCATATGTTCACGTCATTCATACATTTATAAAAGTCATAGTTCCAAATTAAATATTTAATTTACAAGCTAAATATTTAATTTCTAAGCTAAATATTTAATTCCTAAACTAAATGTTTAATTTGCTAACTAAAAATTTAGCTCAGACCCAAATATTAATTTTCCAAACTAAACATTTTATTTCCAAAATAAATATTTAATTTGCTAATTAAATATTTACCTCAGATCTAAATATTTAACTTGGAAGTTAAACCTATGAGACTTAACATTTGGGGCAGATAGGTTCGGCTTTTATTTTGATAGTCCACTTCTGCTTTTTGGCATGGAATTGGCATATTAACTAAATATTTAGCTCAAACTTTAACTAAATATTTAGTTAGCAAATTAAATATTTAGTTTAGGAATTAAATGTTTAACTTAGAAATTAAATGTTTAGGTTGAAAATTAAATGTTTAGTTTTGAAAATAAATATTTAGCTTGGTAATTAAATACTTAATTTACACTGAAATATTTAGCTTACTAACTAAATATTTAACTTGCAAGTTAAGTATTTAGTTTACAAACTAAATATTTAGCTTGTAAATTAAATATTTAGTTTGGAACTATGATGTTTACATGGTGAAAACACGACTTTCTTATTAAAGGTTAAATAAACCAAAATGTTGCTGCTACTTTTTGACTGTGTAACTTTCCAAACAGCACCCCATAAAAGACAGGGTTTCCATATGTTTAACATAAAGAGATGCTTCTTTCTGCAAAAGTTATTACAATGAGCCATCAGAGTGGGCTTTGCTCCATCACCTTGCCTGTGTTTCCCTGTGAGGTGCTGCAGGTCGTCCTGATGGAAGTACTCGTAACACGAGGTGCCGAGAACCTCCTGCGGTAAATAACCGATTACAGTCGTGGCTCTGGGAACAGACAGGGTTCAGACAAACTTTAGTTACTCTGGCGTTTATTGATCTCTTTTACCGCTTCTCAGAAATGTGAGAACTTTTCCAAAGCCTCTCATGTAACAACACATAAGTCCCATTTGGCAAACTGACTCGCTTCAGTACTGGTGTTGTGTATTTACTTCCCAAAGACTGAGAAGAGATTCTCATGGGATGCCATCGAGATGCACAGCTTCTTCTGAGAAAAGATGGCAAAGACAGAAAGGATTATCTCTACTGACGTCTGATTTGACAAAGGAAAGTCAAGTCCTCTTGACCCCGACACGCCTCTGCCATTCCTTTCTCAGCTGAACCGTGTATTCAGAGCAAAGCCACCATCAACACGAGAGACAACGCAGACGGACGGAGTGAGGAACTGGAAACTCACTGTTGATCTACAAAAGTGAACTTGCCGTCGATTGCACAGCGAGTAACAAACTCGGTGGCTTTGACGTGGACGTCTCTGGGAGGTTGGTGGGAAACGTGAGGGTGGAGGCGGCACATGGTCACCAGGCAGTTCAGGCTGGAGGTTTCCTTATCCCCAGCATCGCCCTCTGGGTCCAGCTGGCTGCTCGGACAGCTCCGCATATATCCAGTGCAGTGGAGGGTGCAGTATCTGTACGAGTCTGGGAGCAGAAACACTAATCAAGACATGGTTTATTACTCATGTATTACTTAAAAAACACAGTAATGTGGAAATATATCTTGAAAATTTAAAGCAACATACAGTGGTGCTTGACTCTTTATAATTTTCTATATTTGTATAAATATGGGCCCTGTGATGGACTTGTGACCCGTCCAGGGTGTACCCCGCCCCTCACACAGTGATTGCTGGACAAGGGCACCAGCGACCCCCATGACCCAAAATTGAATAAGCAGGTAAAGATAATGGATGGATGGATGGATGGATGGTAACAGATAATGGATGGATGTATAAATATGACCTAAAACACCATCGGATTTTGGCACAAGTCCTAAAAGTAGATAAAGAGAACCCGGTTAAACAAATGAGATAAAAATATTAAACTTGGTCATATATTTATTGATGAAAATGATCCAATATTACGTATTTCTGAGTGGTAAAGGTTTGTGAACATTTGCTTTCAGTACCTTGCTCTTGTACTGATCTTTGTTGGTCCACCACTCCTGGGGAGGAGAACAATGGTCTTGAATTTCCTCCATTTGTCCACAATCTGTCTGACTGTGGATTGGTGGAGTCCAAACTCTTTACAGATGTTTTGTAACATTTTCCAGCCTGATGAGCATCAACAACTCTTTTTCTGAGCTCTTCAGAAATATTTGTTCCTCCGTGATCCACTTCCACAAACATGTTGTGAAGACCTTGATAGATCCAGTTCTTTAAATCAAACAGGGTGTTCACTCACACCTGATCATCATCCATTGATTGAAAACACCTGACTCTAATTTCACCTTCAAACTAACTGGTAATCCTAGAGGTTCACATACTTTTACCACTCACAGATCCATTGGATCATTTTCCTCAATAAATAAATGACCAAGTATAATATGTTTGTCTTGTTTAACTGGATTCTCTTTATCTACTTTTAGGACTTGTGTGGAAATCTGATGATGTCATATTTATGTAGAAATATAGAAAATTATAAAGGATTAACAAATATTCAGCACCACTGTATGTTTAGTGTTCTTGTGTTTTTGGGTCAGTGAAGATGGAGCTCGTGTGACTTGTCAAAAAGTCCAAAGGACGTTCTTCCACAAGCTTTGTCAATTGTCAGTCGGGCACATTTGTGCCTTGATTTTGTTTACGATGCGTCTTTAACTGTGAAGACAGTGCTATACTTGATGCTGCACAGATGCATCTTTTGCTGAGAGACTTTCAAGCTGAATACGATTTCTCAATGAACTGGAAAAAGTCCAGGAGTAAAATGTGGATTACTAATGTTGACTGTTTTATTTTAACTCTAAAGGTTCTTTGAAGCTGTAAAAGAACTGGCTGGGGAGACAAAAAAAAAGGAGCTCTGCTGAATTTTAAACAACAATTTTGTGTCTCCTGACCAGTTTTATTTACAGAACTTCTTTTAAATTGCACAATCGCACACCCACCTTTCTTCTTTGAGGTACGGGCCAAAGACAGCTTGTCATCGTGTTTCCCTGTGACCCGGCTGTGCTTCATACGACAGAAGAAGGATCGCCGAGCTCCACTGGCCAAGTGGGACGGTCTGACAGGGGTCTCCACCTGGACCTGGGTCCCTGCTGTGCAAAGAGCATCTGTGACTCATGGACTTTAGTTTCAGTTTCATGGATAATAGTATCCTATATATATATATATATATAGTTTTATCTTACTTGAGGTATCAGTGAGGCGTTGGTGAGGAAGCATCTCTGAAGATGAAAGCTGTTCCTTCACCTTGCTGATATCTTTGGGGTGGATTAAATCGAACAAACTCTGCCCCGTTAGCTCCAGCTGAAAATAAAAACACCCGTTTAGCCACATTTGCATTCAGAACCAAATGAACCACTAATGCTTCCGCTTTCTGTGTGTTCACATACATTTCAAGCTTGTTTGAAGAAAATTTTTAACTGGAGAAATGTCATTTCCTGCTAAAATTCAGCGTGAATGCTTATTGCTGAATGATTTCAGCCAAAAGCTGCTGAAGAAGCTGAAACCAGCTGAAAAGGTTTCATTGCTGAACTGTTAATGTGAGTTGAATTTAAACAGCTGACATTTGCAGAAAGCAGGAAAATAAAAGTGGAAAGCAGCAGAAAAACATGTGTAAAAAAGCTGAATAGAGCAGCAATGTAGCAGAAATGAGCAGATAGAGGATGAATTTATTACAAAAAAAATTAGAGTTACCAAAAATGTAGCTGAAAAAGCTGAAGTTAGCAGAAAGAGGCTAAAAAGAGTATAGCACAAAAGGTGGAATTAACTATAAAAATAGCATAAATAGGCTAAAATTAGCATAAAAATATATTAAAAAGTAGCTGGAAAAGCTGAAAAACTGAACTTAGCAGGAAGAAGCTGAAAATAGCTGAACAAGAACAGCTGAAATGAGCAGTAAAACGTTTAAAGAGCTCAAAAGGTGTGGAGAGCTCCACTCATTTTCAATAAGAAAAACACGACTGGTGACGGATCAGCGTGACTTTTTTTTAATAAAACGTTGAACGATTGAAAGAACATTCTCTGAGTGATGATTCTATAATGTTGCAGGTGCTTGTGGTTCACAACACATACAGAAAGTGCTAATAAATGAGATCGTCATTTACAAGATTTGATCAAAACAGCATTAACTGTGATTTATCCACATAATCCAAGTTGAAAAACTCTGACATGAAAGGTATGAAGTGATGTAGATCAAAGAATGCTCGGCTTTTTTATTTAATTTACTTTAATAATGCCTAATCAGATCTAAAAAATAATGTCAGTTCAGGCTCTTTCAGACAAAATGTACGGTGATGTTGACATGTTGTTGTTTTTTTTACATAGATGACAAACCTGGTTGAAGTTGAGGATCTTGGAGACAGACTCAGAGATGAACAGGATTTTTGCTCGATCACACCTTACAACTAATAGGAAACCCTCGGAAGCCTGTCGACAAAAACAAAGAAACATGAGTGTCCTCAAAAATACAAAGAGCCGAACGGTTACGGAAACTTAGTTATAAATAATCACAGACAATTAGAGAGGGTAGAAAAGTGTGGGGAGGGTTTAAATATGGCCGACAACATATCGTATTCTGTATTTCATGCCACAGTTACAGTCTTAAATCACTGTACATCAATAAATGAAGAACTTACAGCTAATTTGGTCAAACTGAAAGTACCAATATGTGCAGTTGTACGAGACACTGGAATATTTTTGGTGATTCATGCATTAATGCATTCAACCTTTATTTATAGATAAGTCAGACTGAGCCTCGAAGACTCTTTTACAAGTGAGACCGTTGGTTACGTACTGTAACCCCAGATTCTATGAGTATAAGCGTAGCCCTTTAAGGCCTTCGCTTTAGTGGGTTTATCCCGTTATGCAGAGCATAAGCACTGAAAAAATTAGTCCACGCCCACCTGCTGTGTGGGCCCCACCCGGTCCGTATAAATTACGTTAAGAGCGGGAAATCGGCTCCCAAAATAGCTTTTTCTTCAGCCATTTAGGAGCCAGTGAGGCCCGACGCTTAAAGGGCTACGCTTATACTCATAGAATCTGGGGTTACAGTACGTAACCAACGTTCTATGTCGTATAAGCTTCGCCCTTTAAGGCCTTCGCTTTAGTGGGTAAAGGGCGAAGCCGATGTAGTCCTCGCCTCACTGGGTCCATTCGAACACAGTAAGAAGCGGAAGCTTGCCCAAAAAACGTCTTGTCACCCAGCTCCCCGTGTGCATAAACTACGCATCGCGTAATTATGTGCCATGCACAGACGCATGTTGTGTAACTATGCGTTCTGACAAGCATGAATACCCCGGAAAAACTTTCAACGGGAAGAGGAAGTTGAAAAGAGGGGGGGAGGGGGGCATGAACCAACTGGTTCATGGCTGAACAGTATAAACAGATTAATGTCCATGAATTGATAAATAATCAAATGAACTGATTGGTAACAATAATCATGAACTGATTAGTGACAATAGAACCAGAAACACAGACACAACTGTGACTGATAACAACATCTCACACTGTAATGCATGCAGACAGAAGTGAGCTTAAACAGAGTTCCATGAGAACAATAATATTCATTCTGTTAGAGCACTAAGGACAGAATGTGTCATGGAACGAGCCGTTACATCACGTAGGTAAAAGCGAATAAATGAGCAGGGTGTTGACCATGCAGCCGCAGTGCAAATGTCCTGCATTGACATACCATTATGCAGAGCAATCGAAGATGCGATACCCCTGGTCGAGTGTGCTTAGAGGTTGACAGGAGGCCCTAATCTGATGCTCTGTAGGCTTCAGAAAAAAGGCCTCACACAGCCAGTGTGACAAGCGCTGGATGGATAACGGCGACCTGCAGAAGCATCTCTATAATGCACAAACAATTGTTGAATTTGAACGCATTGCAGCTGTGCGCGTTACGTAACACGTCAACGCCTGCACCGGGCAGAGAAGATGAACAGATGCTTCCCCTTCTGATCTGTGGGAGGGAAAAAACCCCTCCAACGATATCACTCTTGATTTAAAAGAGCTCGTGATGTTTTAGGCATAAAAGCTGGGTTGGTCTTAAATCAGCTGAGCTGCCCGTCAGCCTAATTCTAAGGCATGACGAAGCAACAGAGAGGGCAGATAAATACTTACCCTCTTAGCGGGTGTTAAAACCAGCAACAGGGCTGTTAAAAGAGACAAGAATTTAAATGAAACCTGATCCAGAGGCTCAATTGAAGCTTTGATCAGGGCTCGCAGGACCAGCGTTAAACCCACTGTGGAACAAGTGGGCGTGAAAACAGGCCTACATCTCTGTACACCTTTTAGAAACCGCTTCATCAGCGGGTGATAAAAGCTGTTCTGTCTCCAAACCCTTTGTGGCAGGAAGAGATGGCTGCAATCGTACGTTAAAGCGTACTGAAAGCCAACTCCCTATCCATCAGCTGTTGTAGAAAAACAACACGCCGCCTAAAAGGCATGAAGTGGTCTCTAAACCTTCTCTGTGCACCAGCGCTGAAAAGCCGTCCCCTTGATGTGTACAGAACTGTGGTAGATGCAGCACGTGAATCTTGAATTGTGCACACTATCTCCTGAGGGAGACCCATCCTCTAAGTGGAACCGCTCAGCGGTCAGACCCACCGGTGTTGACCTATTTCTGGGTAACTCTTGGTCGCTCCTCCTGCCTGAAGGAGAGCATCCTTCCTCCATGACAGTTCCACGGCGACCCAACAACAGACGTTGCAGGCCTGGGAACCATAGTGCGTTCACACGCCGGGAGCCACCAGGAGAGCTGTCAATCCCTCCTCTTGAACTCGGTTCATGGACCGTAAAAAAAAAAAAAAAACCAGAGGAGGTGGGGGGAAAGAAACGCGTAAAAAGCGTTTTGGGCCACCGACTGTGAGCAAATGCGTCCCCCCCCAGCGATGGATCGTCTCGCGGGCTCAGGGAAAACCGTAGTTGACATTGAGCGTTCTTCTCGCATCGCAAACAGGTCCACAGCTGCTTTGCCAACTTCTGCTGCGTCTGAAAACATCAGATCCGGATGGAGGATCCGGTCCACGTAACGTGGGCCGCCCTTGGACGTCACATCAGAACACCGGATATGTAAACCGCTCTAATAAAAGCAGGTTTTGATGAACCCAACTCAGTAGCTTTCGCACAATGTGTAACATCTGGGCTGAACGCACACCCTGATGGTTATGTACGCAGCAGTCATCATGATGTCTGTGTGAATCAACACGTGTTGATTCTGTAGCACAGGAGCAAGGTGTTGAATCACATTCAGTACTGTGCGACACTCCAAAACATTGATGTGGGCTGATGTGTAGTGGGGCCACAGCGCCCCTACTGCTTGAGATAGGTATGTCCCCCCCCCAGCCTGACAGCAACGTGTCCGTGAAGACTGACCCATGACGTGGGTCTGCTGAGGGGGACTCCCTCTGATAGAAAAACAAGGTGTTTCCCCAGAGTCGGAGGTCTGCTTCCACAGAGGAAAAGACAATGATCATCCGTCGTTTGTTTTACTGGATCCACATGCAGACGTGCAAAAACACCTCTAGAGGCGTCTCATGTGATAAATGAGTTTTCATGGTGGTTGAATTTAATTCCACTCCAGAAAACAAATGTCTGGGCCGGGAAAATCGAGCTTCCTTCCACTTATGGCGAAGCCCAGATTAACAGGTGTGATGTCAACACCTGATCCTGCATCAGCGCCTCCTGTCTGAAGTGACAGGATCCGCAGATCATCCAGGTAAAACAAAAAACTCTCGTCTCTGTGTTTTAGGATGATCGGTATGCGTTCTCTGGATGTTAAACAACAGATCCAAGAACGGTCTCACCCCTCCGATCCGTGAGTAAACACCCTCGTGTTTTCTCTCCCTTGGGGAACTCTGTAGATTACTTTTATCAGAAAACACTTGGATTTCTGCATTTAGGGAAGAGAATCAGTCTGATGATGATGACGGGACCGTTTATATAACTCCTCTGAATGGAGGGGTTCGGGTTGCAAACTGTAACTTGTACCATTTGCATAAACCCTGTCCATCCATCTGAAAAACGGCGAGCATGTTTAGCCACTCTACGTAACGTTCGTGGATGAACGTGCGTTAATGATGCGTCATGTTTTGTACGGCTGTCAGCAGTCCGTCCCTCAACCGCCGTCATGCGTCGCGGGAATGTTTTCTGTGTGACCCCGGGCGAGACTTGAGCTGAAGGCGAAGCGTGTGACAGCTGATGACGCGGTGAGCTGCGCGTTTGACGTCGCTGTGCGAACGTTGAAAGGCGGAGGGCGTGACTTCATTTACACCGTGCTGTTGGAGTGAAGGCTGCTTAGCCCCGCGGGAGCACACGTTGTTCTCTGGAGGGACGCGCGCCGCTCTCGCTGGAGGGGCGCGCGCTGGGGGGAGGTGGGACTCATTACCGGATTCTTCGGCTGCTTCACGTTTAAGCTGCGGTGAGCTGCCGAAAGCTGAGAGAGAAGGACCCCCACCCGGACCAGCCTGCGGACCACATTTATACCGATGTGAGCTGGTTAGCGCCGGCAGCTGTGTGCGCCAGCATCAACGCAGCACCGTTGAATGGAGGCTGTCATCTTAGTGTTCGACTCGTCATGTCAAGAGCGGCGGTGAATTAAAAACCCTATTTAAGGACACCGGCTCATGTGGAGGCTGTTCCATCCCACAAATGCGAGTTGACACCGCTTGAGTGAGGATCATGCAGTTCTAGTTGGTAATGAGTTATTTTCGCTTACCGTTGTGCCGTGATCGACCCGTCATGTCTAGAGCGACGGTGAGTTTAAATTAAAAACCTTTATTTAAGGACACCGGCTCATGTGGAGGCTGTTCTGTGATCGACTCATCATGTCTAGAGCGACGGTGAGTTTAAAAGCCTTTAATTAAGGACGCCGGCTCATGTGTGGAGGCTGTCCTGTGATCGACTAGTCATGTCTAGAGCGACGGTGAGTTAAAAACCTTTAATTAAGGACACCGGCTCATGTGTGGAGGCTGTTCTGTGATCGACTCGTCATGTCTTAGAGCGACGGTGAGTTAAAAACCTTTATTTAAGGACACCGGCTCGTGTGTGGGGCTGTTTCATCCCACGAGTGCGCTCTTATGTGTGCGGCCGCTGTGAGCTGATCCGGGCTTACAGACTGGCTAAAAAACAGACACTTGGATCATTAATGATGATTTATTTCAACTTTCGTGTCACTTTTACACACACCCTCCGGAGACCGTCATTTGAGAGCTTTCTCTCTCATGAGCTCTGCGATTGTTTGCCCAGAGCGCTGTCTTGCAGGCGAACTCTGGGGAAACGCTGAGCTGCAGGCTGCCGGAGTGCAGAGGGCTGGATTCTGACGGGCGGGGCTGGTGGTGGAACTCAGCGAGAGCCGCGGCCGTGGAAAAGTCGAAAACTTGCTCGCGACGGTCCCTCCAGCGGGGACGGGGTGGGCCGCGCGGCTTGATGAGGTGGCGAACAGCTTCTGGCACCTCCTCCGACTGTTTCACTTCGCCAGCATGGTTTGAAGCTGCTCTGAACAGCGCGTCCGCGATGGGCTTCATCAGGTCTTGTGCAGATTCTCCGGCAGCGAGGGGAGTAACGAAGCCAGGTGGATCGTTGGGTCATCGTCCTCCGCGCTCGATTGGAGAGCGTGGTCGCCGTCTGTGTTCCTCCGGAGGGACGGGACGCTGCTCCGACCTGGGCAGCTTCGCTCCGGAAGCTTCCGCGAGGCTTGGCTCCAGGGGGGGGTACCGAGGAATAGCGTCAGCTGCCTTACAGAGGGAGTTCTTCGTCTCCAAGGCAGGTCTGCGGCCTTCAGTCCCTTGGACATGCTATATGCTAGCAGCGCACGTTGTTGCTAACTGCAGCTGCCTGAAAACACGTCGGTGGGCTCGATTGGAGAGCGTGGTCGCCGTCTGGTTCCTCCGGAGGGACGGGACGCTGCTCCGACCTGGGCAGCTTCGCTCCGGAAGCTTCCGCGAGGCTTGGCTCCAGGGGGGGG